GATCGCGATAACCCGAGGTCCAGTACCCGCCGATCGTGAGTGCCCGCCGCTGCCATCGATGTTCCGATGTTGTTGTCCCAAGCCACATGAACGCCTGCCGTGCATCGCAGAGCAACACCCGCACCGCAGGCGAGCCAAGCGTACGCTGTCGAGCCCCACATGTGTGCTAATAGCCCTGTCTCGGTCCTCATTCAATCCTTTCGCGTGATTTTTTTCCAGAGAACGATATCTAGACTCAAACCCTCTAATTTTATTGTGTTTACATGAGTTATGTGTAGCTCTTGATTTTATATGGCATGTTGAGAGGGTTGTGATAGTATTATATGGAGTTCTAGGTGGATGTCATGCTAAATGTGAAATCTCTTTTGTTATGTGTGTAATAATGACGATATGAAGTGCTCATGATGTTGTTTCGATTAGTTAATATGAGTTGGGATATCATATAATATGAATTTATGTATTAAAATGCATGTTTAGGGTGATAAACGAGTTGCTTATGATATAGAGATTAATTTGATGAAGTTTCGTTGAGATTGGCATGATTAATCACGATTTTACTGTCTCATTTTTGCCTCTGTTATGACCATCAAGAACTCTTTATTGGAAGATTTGTTCTTCATATGAATTGTACTTTATCCTTTTATCTTTCAGTGGGCTTCGGAATTTTAAAAATCTGATTTAAATCGTGTGAGATATGATTTTTACAAAAATGTGGTGCAAGAAGTTTTCTGAAAACTGGGCTGTGCACATGATGTTAATGTTTGGTCTGCGATAGATATTCTAACATGCTCAAATGTGAAAGTGGCCTTCATAAAATATGTAGCCTTATGTGTTAGATTCTTTTTAGTTTTTGAATCAAGTCAAAGGCATGTCTGTAGCATGAGATATTCCAGTTTTACTGAGGCTCCGTATGATGTATAATTATGTTCTCGGACTGCAACCATGTTTTGAATGTATGATGAATAATATATGATCAGATGCCCTTATTTGCCTTTACTGTCTTCATGAAAGTAGTAGCCTTACTTCTTAGCTGCCTGATGGTTTTTAAATCATGTCATTTGGAGGTCTGTAGTATGAATTATATGATCATTACTTAAGCTCTGTATTTAGAAAATTTCAGTTTTCTGACTGCAACTCTATCATGAATGTTCGTTGAATTATCTCCTAGTAAATGACCTTATTATCAATGTCTTAATAAGAGTTGTAGATGCATGTCTTAATATTCAAATAAACAAGAATCATAATTATATGACATGTGTGTTGCAAGTTATGTGTATTTCAAAATCGTTGCGTGGGTTGAGTTTTGAAAAACTTATGTTGTGCTATCAAGAATGGAATTTACTTATTAAATGCATGCTTATATTACTTATATGAGCTGAGTTGACCTAGTGAATATTGTTATATGTGTATTTATGTGTCGAATAGTTATTAATAGGGTTTTATCTTGTTAAATGTAGGTTCGACGAGCTGAATCATCGACCTAACTTCTTGTTTTGTGTTTGATTCTCCACTTCAGTGACCAGGTGGGTTTATTTAAAATGCTATGCCGTAAAATTTATTTATGTTTCTGATGTACGGTATGATCAATGTATGCATGTGAACCATGTAGCCTTCGATGTCTGTTGTATCGGCCGTCGGACGGTTATTTCCGTAGTTATAGAACAGACCCCGTTGGGGTAATCTCCTTTTTGTGCTCGTAAGACCAGGGAAAGGCCCTGGCTATAGATATGAACCCCGATGTAAGTCCGATGGCAAGGCCGGGCCCTCGGGGGGAATACTCCTACTGTTTGGGCATCGTTGTAAGGCCTGAGCGAAGGCATCCGATATGTGTATCAACAGTATTCTATGGATATAGATGTGCACATGAGTCTTGATTTTATGATTTCGTATACATGCTGCGACCGTACCTGTTTTTATTTTATGATTATTGATTATTTCATAGTGGTGAGCACCACGGGTTCCATATGTGTTCACCCTCACCTGTTTCTTCACGGATGCTGGTTAAGTAAGTGCGGGCACGGCAGAATGGAGCGAGTGGTGATCGGTCTATGAGACCAGATTACTGATTGTTATGCTTCCGCTATCTTGAACTTATTTATGATTTCATGACTTGGGATATTACGAATTTGTGATTTTATGATGACTCGAAATAATGTTTGGGAAATGACTTGACACTGTGATGGAACTCGGAAACCTGTTTTGGGTCATGTTGACTTTGGATGAAACACTCGTAGGGGGTATTGATTTATGTTTAACTGTCATTGTGATGACTGCTATTTACGATATTGAAAGTGATTTTGAAAATGAGTAACGCCGCAAAGGTTTAAATTGAGTTTGAAAATTTTATTGATTTTTTGAAAGTCCGAAATTTTTTTAAAATCAAAGTGGGGCGTTACAATATCGGTTATATAGCGGGAATTTGTCAAGTACTGCTGAATTTGCGTGGTTTTAATATGTAGCCCTCATCGATCGACGTGTACTTCATTCGACCGGACCTGCTGGTCCGATTTATCCCTCTCTCATCCACCGGACCTGTTCATGGTATAATATCCCATATCAAACTTAGATCCCAAAGAAGAAAAATCCTACTAGAGTGATTAATTTCATACCCATCAGCCTTTGTTCAGTGGTGTATAAATTAATTGCTAAAATAATGGCCAATAGATTGAAAGGTGTGTTGTTTGGTTGTATTTCTTGTTCCCAATCTGCTTTTGTTCGAGGTAGGCAAATTTTAGACATTGAAAGGTGTGTGCACTATCTTAATATCAAAAGGAAAGGTAAACAAAATTACATGGCTATCAAATTGGATATGGCTAAGGCCTGTGATGGATTTGTTTAGGCTTTTCTTGCTAATATTTGTAGAAAAATGGGATTCTGTGAAGAGTTTTTGTCTTGGATCCTTGCTTGTGTGTGCACTGCATCTTATTCTTTCAATCTTAATGGGTCTGTGCTTGGTTTTCTTCAACCAACCAGGGGTCTTAGACAAGGGGACCCTACTGCCCCCTTATCTTTTCATTTTCGTCTCTAAAGCTTTGTCCAATTTGGTTAATCAACTATGTTCTTCTGATTTGTTTTATGGTATTAGGATAGTAAAGCATGCTCCTGTTGTTAGCCACTTATTTTTTGTTGATGATTCATTATTCTTTTGTAAAGTTGATTTACACCATGCTCTGTCATTAGCGATATTTTTTATATATATGGTCATGATTCTAGTCAGGCTATTAACTTTGACAAATTCTTGTTATGTTTTCCAAGAATACTCTTGAAGTAACTCAACTGCAAATCTGTAGAACTTTGTTTGGAATTCAAATAGTCAAATCCTCAAGATACTTGAGCTAGCCTTTAGGTATAGGAGGTAAAAAAGAGACACATTTCTGTTTCTCAGTGAGAGTGTTAAAAACAAGATCATGAGTTGGAAATACAAATTTCTCAGTGAGCCAGGAAAAGATATTTTGATCAAATCAGTGTTGAGTGCTTTTCCCACATATGTGATGTGATGTTTTAGAATTCCCATTTCCATTATTAACCAATATCTGCAGGGACATTGCGATTTTTTGGTGGGGCAAGAATGAAGGGGGTGGGAATAGGTTACACTAGGGTAAGCCCGGGGGGTGGGGGGATTATGTAAATCTAAAGAGGACGGGGGCTAGGTACATAGATTTGAGGGCTTTCAATGAGTCCCTTTTAGTCAAGAAGTCGTGGAGAATCATGACTTTGCCAAATCTATTAATGAGTAGAGTTTTGAAAGGTAATGGCTCGCTTGTTTACAAAATAATTCATTCAAAATGAGTTATTTTGGTTAATTAGAGTTAATTTTGAAAAAAGATGACATGATTAGTTGTTAGTGAGATTTTTAAAATGCACTAAAATAATATTTAAAATAATATGAGTAAAATCGGTTTGATGTAAAGTAGGAGATAAACGATTGAAAATAATTGGAGATGGTAAGTTAAAACTATGTGAGTGAATGAATAGTGAATTAAAGTAAATGTGATGTGTAAAATTGGTTTGTATTATTTAATTATATGAATAATATTAAAGACTTGAGTTAAAGTTGAGTGAGATTTTGAGTATAAATTAAATCTAAGTGAAATAATTGATAAACAAGCATGCCCTAAGTATTTGAGGAATAGCAATGCTATGGAGGTGAGAGCCAAGAATAGTGATTCATGGCTTTGGAAAGGTTGGCTTAGCGCTAGATCTGCCTTTGGTTTAGGTTCTAGGTTTGAAGTGAAGGATGGGGTTTCTATCAATGTTAGGGATTCCCCTTGGATCCCAAATAATTGTAATTTTAAACCTAGATGATGTTTTTGGGGGGATAGAGATAAAGTTAAAAGGGTGAGTGACTTGATTAAATTATGTGGCAGAGAGTGTGATATAGAGCTGATTATGCAAACCTTTGATCCTATTGATGTTGAGTTCACTCTAAAAATTCCTCTTTTACTTGAGACAAAGAAAGATAGGATGATATGACATTGAGCAGGAAAAGTCATTTCTCCACAAATGTTGTTTATCAAACCGTTCTATAACGCTGGAGAAAATGCTTTTCCTATTGTTCTTCGAATTCTATTCTTGATTAGGTGTATTCTGTTGCTATTGATTGAAATGTGGATTATTTATTCATTGATTTGTAGGATGTTAAGTTTGTTTGACCTTGTTGTCTTTGAGGGGAAGAACTTGTTCTTCCTCGTGATGCTTGAGTTGGCTTGTTTTAGTTTGCTCGTGATGTCTGTAATCAGTTGATTAATCATTGTAACCATACTACTGTTATTGTGAGCTATATATTTGTTTGTTTTGCCATTGAAAAAAAAAAAATAAAAAAATAAAAAAAAATCAATCCCCTACTCAATCACACAACCAATTCGAGTACGCATACGATAAAACTCTGTGCAAGTGGTTGCCAAATTACTTATTAAAAAAAAAAAAGGTTCTGTAAAACCATGAGGGTTAATTGTAAATCGAACCAATATTTACCTATGTCCTCAAGGACTGCAACAAAACTACGCGTCACGTTTCTGTTTAGATATATCTTCAATTATGCCTTTTCCATCCATGGCATCAAAGAAGATGAAATTCTTCAAAGGATCACCTTTCCCTGATATTGCCTTAATGACTTCCTAAAACCGTGAATAACATCAATTATCAAAATCAACACCAAAACAGATGGCAAAGTTTAAACAAGCAATTTTTAATTTAAATATATTTTTTTTTTCAAGGGGAAATACTATTGGCAACAGAATATTTTACCTGTCCAAGTATTCCCCCAACGATGGCACAAACAGGTGGGAATTCTTTTATACCTTGTAACAATCTCTCGAGCAGGGAATCCGGAATTTGAGATTCATCCACAGACTACATAGAGGTTATAATGGACAATTAAATGATGAAAAATGTGCTATGCCTGTAGCTGGATAACACCTTAATATAACTTTCAATGGGCTTTACATTTGCCTCACAAAGTTCCTTCCTCAGCTTTTGAATGTTCGGGAAATCCGCAGCGGAGGTGTCCCCAGGAGTACGATTTTCGACCTCCTCAAACCTTTCTATCACTGAAAGAATTTGGGGATGGGTGAAGAGAGGTAGTTTGTTAACATAAATTAACACTGTTAATTCGGAAAATATGGCAACTTTTAGAAAGAGGTTCATGTGAATACATGCATTAAATACATGAAACTAAATAATGAGTAATGATGTTAAATGAATGTACAAGTATGTTAATAAGAAAGACAGAGTTGATGAGATGGTGAGATGTGTCATGTGGGTCCCGACAATGTACCTCTCATGGCTAAGTACAGCTTAGACACTCTCCTGGGAAGAGACTTCCATGGGACAGAAATCGCTTCCTATCAAGAAAAAAACAATTAACTTTCATTAGAACAGCAGAATGACACGAGAGGTGTTAAAAAGAAAGTTCGTAGGTTTACGGCTGCTCCAGAATCATTTTGTTTTTAAAATGAATTGGCAATTTGGAAAACATTGATTGCTCTTCCTTCCTGAGGATTTCTATCACTAATTCTTATAGAAGAAAAAGGTTGAACAATGCTTCCTAATTCTCTTTAGGGCGCTCTTCTTTTAAGATTTCAACACTTCTTGCCATACAATACAGAAAAGCCATCCTCTCATTTGTCGGAAGCTATCTTCTGAATAATTCTTGTAAAAGCAAAGTAAGTAATAATTTCCAGATGCAATAGTAATTTAAAGTGTCAAAACCACTCTTAACCAGTTGCTTTGTTTTCTGGATAGTGACTTTTTCGGTTCTTACCACCATTTGTTTCCCTCATAATCAAAGTTTCAGCCGGTTTTCATTTTTGTTTCAATAAGACAAACAAAACTGATATTTTCTGAAGACGAAATTTATAGTAACTTGAGATGTCTCTTGTTCCAACCAAAAACTGGTACAGTTGAAGGAAACTGAATCAATGGTGTAGAAGGGAGATTAAACTCCTACTTCCACATCATCTCAGTTAACTTCCACATCAATGTGACACTATATCACATTCGCTAACTAATGACAAGTTAAAGAATTTCTCTATAGTGAATGCCATATGATAAATGTATATTGAAAAAATACCAACTGTTGCAACATAACAATCAAAAAATCTAATGGTATTTAAAGTTAATCCTTGTACCTCATAACTAGGATATTCGAGAAGGCATTCAGCCATTTGATCACCTTTTTTCTGTCAGCACAGGAGAACAAAAGAACTTAGGAACTGTTCAGACTGGACACTAAATCTTAAACTGCATATGGTGAAGGTCATGCCCACAAGAATGAGCACATAAACAAAAAAACTAATGCACTTCCAGTTAATACAATCAATATGCAACAAAAAATTTCAATTACAAGAAATTCACTAGAAAATTAAGCAAAACGCAAAAAGTACAACGCAAAATTGCCGCAAAGAACTAATGCATAGAACATAATAAGTTTGAATAACAAAACTGTTTACCATGGAGTAGACGTAATTATGCAAGTCAACAAATATTTCACCACAGGAGTCTCTGCAATCCACCGTATAAAACGCAATACGTTTTGACAATTTGCGACATTTCTTATTAACTGATTGCTGCAGCAGTTACATTAGAAACTATAAACAAGGATTGAAACAGAGTTAATAGTAAAATGTTTATAAGACAAGCCTTTAATAATAATTAAAAAAAAAAATAAAATTGTATTTATCAAGGATGAGACGTTGGGTGTACTTTTGTTGAAAGTGAGCCAGAACTGATGACTACAGCATCGAAATTGTTAAAAAAGTCAACACCAAAGCTGGACAAGTCACCTGCACATATCAAGTAACCTTTGATGATTAGTGACTGATCAAGATGAGTTAATAAAAGCCTTTTGGTCAAAATGATGTTAAACTGAATTTGCAAACATCACTAGCACTACTGTGAGTCACGTATAGAGTAAATTGATAACATTGACAATGTGCTTTTTAAATAGACGGCATCACAGGTCACACCTTTAAAACATGGAACGGCTACATATAAGTTAAAAGGATTCAAATCTTCCAATTCCAATTTCCTTCTTACCCTTAAATTACAAGCCGGTCCTTAGGAATATTATTCAGTCACACAACGATATCATTATCAGGCTTATCCACTTATACCATGCTATGAAATTTGGAAAACCAAAAGCCATAATCCGCATCACAGAGACACTAAAATCTGTCAATCAATCACTACATTCACAAGCAATGCACGGGAGTAGAACAAAGGGAAATGGGGCCACCTCTTTGAACAGAAACCTGAACCATTGGGTTGAAATCTTTCAACGGATCACAACAGAGCTCGGCAAGAGACTTCCCCGCATACACATTTTCATCACGAGGAATCAAAAAGTTGGCTGACAATAACTCCTCCGTCACCATCCGATCGTCATTCAAAGTTAAACTACCTATACCTGCTAGCACAACATTCTTGCAAAACTGACGAAATACCAAAACAGTAGATTCAGTTAGGCCCAGATGAAAATCTCAACAATGGCAAGTTATAGGCATAAAAAGAGAAAATTACCTCGACCACAGTGCCTTTTAGTCCACTAACGAGAATACGAGACTTGCTCAGCCTAAAATCGATAAAGGGGTGCAGAAAGTTCATTTATCAAGCGAAGATAGAAAAGAAACAGACATGCGCATACATATATATACATGAAGAAGGAGCAAAAAGACTTCATATACCTTCTTTGAGCATCCGCGCCCCAAACCCGAATTTGGCGATCGTAAAGGGCAGTTTCGTGCTCCGTCAATTCCTTGCCGTCCATGTCCAACTGCAGCCTGATGAGTTTACACAAAGCACAGTTGTTGGCTTCCAAGAGAGACAAAGAGGGATAGATGAAAATTCAAAAGCCGTGAAAATATAACTTAGCTCATCTGGAACCGAAAAATTCATTCTCAAACTCAGTAATTGTCACCTCAAACAGTAATTCATCTCCAACCGAAAAACTCATACTCAAATCTAAAAAAATATTCCCAAAATATTCTCTTTTACAACAATTTTACAACTTTTCAATACAACTCACATATATTACAACTTTACAAATTAAACCACATTGTTATTTTAAATTCGATTTGAAAATTATTTTATAAATTAATTATAAATTAAAAACGAATAAATATATATATTAATTAATAATTGAAAATTACAATGCACAATATGAAAAATAAAAATACGTTGAAATGAACATAAAATAATTATTCGTACAAGCAAAAATTACAATCTTTCGAGTTTCAAAATTTGTGAGTTATTTTTCAAGGTTTATGATGTATTTTTATTTTATGTAGTTCTATGTTATTAATTTGGTAATATTAATACTTTTTATTTCTTGAAACTTATAGTCTTTTTTAAATATATTATTAATAAATATAATATAAAAATTAAGTAAAGTACTACTCTATTTCATATTATATTTTAATTGTCAAAACACAATTGCCAAATATAATATACAGTATATATATAAGAATAGGGGTGCTAGATTATAAATAAAGAATAGAAGGACTTATATGCAATAATAAAAAGATCAAACGCAAATTTTGCGTTGCAACGCAAATATGCGTTTGGATAGGAGGGAGAAAGCCTCTGTACGCATTTTGCAGATCGGTTTGCAATTCGGGTGGAGAAAATTGTACTGCAAAATTTGAGTTTTGGGTCTCAGTTGGAGACGGTCTTAGAGTAAAATTGAATGGTGCTCAAGGCTGCACTGCTACAGTAGAATAACACTGCTAACGTCTACAGTGCTAGGCAACGAGTCCTTTGTTTCATTTTAGGGCGTAGTGAAAGCTCCTTCGAGCTATTTCGTGTTCGGCTTGTTCGTTTAATAATCGGCCTAAGCTCCAAAATGTTACTCAAGTCGTTTATTATTTCAAATGAACACGAACTCGTTCGCGAACATAAACGAGTGTTCGCGAACAATAAGATTTTTAATAATAATAATAATAATAATAATAATAATAATAATAATAATAATAATAATAATAATAAGCATTTCTTAAGTTTTGATAATCGGCTATTCGAAAAATACTTGGATACAAAACAATCTAAAAAAAATTCAATTATTTTTAACTCAACCATTCTTTTTAACTCAACCTCACTATCATCAATATTTTATTATAATTAAATAACATCAATCAATCACTCTTACACAACACATCATCTTTAATTCACTATTTATTCACTCACATAATTTTAACTAACCTTCACTTCAATCTCTCTTTTACTTTTTATATCAAATCAACTTTAATTATAATATTATAAATATTATTTTAATATACTCAATAACAATTAACATCATACCACATTTTTAAGAATTAATCAAACCAAATCAAATAATCCAAACAAACAAAAATTTTATATCCAAACATAAAAGTTCAAATAATTTCGATTAGTTGAACGAGGCGAACATGAACTTAATGAATGAAAAAGAACATAAATTTAGGCTCAACTAATAAACGAACGAACTCGAACAAGCTCGAATAGTATTAATAAACGAACGAGCTCGAACAGCCCGACCTCAGTTCAATTCGGTTTGTTTACAGTAGGCGTGCTTTACAAATAAATCTGTTCAGAATGAGTTTTTTCAATTAACGAGGGTTAATTTTGAAAAAATTGAATGGTTAAATGTTATTGAGATTTTGATTTTGTATTAAATTATTATCAATAAAATAATAAAATTGATTTAATGTAAAAGTAAGAGAGAGATGATGTAAAATGATAATTAATTAAAATAATGTGAGTGGATGAATAGTGGAGTAAAGATGATGTGATGTATAAGAATGATTAATTTGTATTATTTAATTATATTGATAAAGTTGAGGCTAATAGAAGTTGGTTAAGGTTGAGTTAGATTTTGAGTATGAATTGAGCAAATTTGTATACAGAGGGAAAATATTAATTAAGAATTCATAAATCCTAATGTATTTAATTTAGAGGGTGTATGCGCTTGGAATTTCGAGTGAATTTTTAAACATTTAAGATTTGAGACTCCATATTTTAGAGGAATCATATGGAATCTCTAGTTTTGATGTGGGATTTTGAGTGAGATTTCGTATAAAGTTTTCTTTTAAAAATTCCACAAAATCAAGTATAACAAATTCTAGTTTCAAATAAGTTATAGACCTCTCGATTTTGTAAGACTTTTTAAAATCTCAAATGAATAACAAAAATTATAAAATTTTAAATCTAAATTAAATACACCAAAATTTTAAAGTCTTAAAAAGTCAAATCTAAAATGAATACACTCCCCTTAGACTTTTCATATTTTTAAAAGTTTGAGATATTTTAAAATATTTTACAAAACCTTGAGAGTTTAACTTATTTGAGATATTTTGAAAGGCAAAATTGCATTTTGTGCCCTGTAACTATACGTGTGTGGCAAATGTGGACAACTTCTTTTTGGTTTGGCAAAAGTACCCCAAAACTTGTTAAAACCCAGAATTCGTGCCCATTTACCTACAAGTTACCGGATTTGACCGGTTTTTCGTGTGACAAAACAGGACAGTAACTTGTTAAAATTCGAAATTTGTGCCCAAATTGGGTATGAATTACGGGTTTTAACGAGTTTCAGGGCACTTTTGCTAAACCAAAAAGAAGTTGTCCACATTTGCCACACACTCCTAGTTACGGGGCATAAAATGCAATTTTGCCTATTTTGAAATGTCTTACACATACCATCAGATTCATGAAAGAAAATTTGTTTCTATATATTTTTTTCGTACAAATCCAATAGTGTGACTTCCGATATCACTGATTGATAATGTTATGTGCATTTTGGCAAAATTTCTCGAAACTTCAAACAATGTTTTTCTCGCATTTTGAATTTTTTTTTTTTTTTTT